AGAAGTTTGCGAGCGGCCCGGTGGTGTCGTTTATTTTCTTCTTGAAGCCCGGCGCGGTGAACTCGGCCGAGCGCGCTCGCGCTGTTGCCGACCTCGCCGCCGGTGAAGCCGCACAGGTACGCGCCGCCGCTGAACGCGGTGACTTCCCCGTCGCCGGCTTGATCGGCGCCATCGCGGCGACGGCGCTCGCTGGAGGCGCCGCGTTGTTGGTGAGTAGTGGCGACGTGCCGGCCACACCGTCGATTCCGAAGGTCGAGGCGCCGAAGGTTCAACGGGCCGCGCCCTCTATGCCCTCGATGCCCAACTTCTTCGCCCAGTCGAAGGAGGCGCCGCCGGTCGCCGACGCGCCACTTCGAGACGTTGCCGCAATGGAGGCGGTCGAGAAACTTCAAAATGGCCAGGGCGACGCGCGTGACCTCTACGAAATGATGTCTCGCCGATAACTCCACGCTTGGGGTCCTCCACGAAGAACGACATCGCCACGCACATTGATTTCTCGACGAAAATTAAGACAATGATTCGCTCAAATTTCTAATACCGGTACCGGTACGTACGTTCTAACATATTCATACAAGCCGTTATCTATTTCTTCCCCTTTCGCTTATTTCTAGCTCGAATTGCCTCGAACTCCTCCCGTTTGTCGATTGCGAACGCGGCCACGATGGCGTCCCCCAATCCGTCTTCGATCATGAACTCGGTCAAATCGATCCCACCGCTATCGTCGAGGTCGAATACGCACCAAATATTCTCCACGACGCTTCGTAGAGCCTGTATGTGTTCGACGTCTTGTTTGAGACCGAACGATTTGATGAGCGCGCGGACGACTTCGTCTTTCTCCAACATCCCGGACAGGTCTTCGTCCCAAAAAGTGAACCAACGCGATTTATCGGTAACGTGGGGTATCGACTTGTATTCTCGAAGTCTCGCTGGATACTTTGCGCTCACCATCTTGAGCAGACCCTGTTCTCCGATCACGTCATCTTTTCGCAACACGCCCGTGTCCTCGGGATCAAACTTGGACCACAACGAATCCAAATCCTTTGCGATTCGCTTCCAGTCCACGGGAACCTGCGCACGGATCACCGATATGACTTGCTCCTTGTTCATCGTCCCCTCGCCCTGAACATCGCACAGTCTGAACCACTCGTCCGCGTCTTCCGTGGTGAAGGGCACCCCTCGAGACTCCGCGCACTCCGCGCGACACAGCGGGCACCACCGCCCCACGTATTCGATCGTACTCCGCGCGCACCGATCGTGCAAGAAGTGCGAACACACCCTCTTCCCCTCGGCGTCCACGAACACCGCCGTTCGCTCCTTACACAGCGGCTCGAAGCACACGCCGCACTCCTGATGCTCCTCGCTCACGTGGAGTTCGCCGCCGCCTTTGCCGCTCCTCGACCCCTCCTCCTCTTCCGCTAACCACACGTCATCCGACGACCGTCGAAGAAACACTCTCCGTCGCTCTCGCGCCACGACCGCCTCACTCGCGTCCACCCGTCCTCGATGCGCCGCGTCGTCCGGCGGCTCGTACGCCCCCGGAATGGCCGGCGCGAAGTGTTGCGCGATCTGTCTTCTGTTCGAATTCGCCGTGTGCGTCGGCAAGCGCATCGCGTTCCCCATGGCGACCGACGACGAATCGATGCCTCGGCGTCACCGACGCGCGCGCGCCGTCGGCACGCCCCCCGCGCGCGCGTCGTCGACGGTTGTCGTCGACCGCGAGTGACCGTTTCGCGGGCCGATGCGTCGCCGCGCCGCGCGCGTCCACCGACCGCGCACGCCGACGCGCCCCCACCGACGCGCCCACCGACGCGTCGACGCCCGTCGATCCAACGCGCGTCCGTCGTCGTCGTCGTCGTCGTCGTCGTCGTCGCGCTGTGTCGACCGTTCGACGCCAGCGTTGACGCGGACGCCGCGCAGAGGGAAACTTCTAGGTTTTCATAGAATCAAACCGATACGACATACGGTACACGCTGTCGTACGTGGCACTCGACTCGTGGTATGTAACAAAAAGACACGACGACCCATCGCGCACCGCGGGATCGCGCGGCGCGCGACATCTCCCGACGCGCTCGCGTCGACGACGACGAACGACGCGCGCGCGCGCGGCTCGCGCGTGAATCGGAGATCGCGCGACGCGCGGACGGACGCGATGAGTCTTCGCCCGGGGAGTAAGGCGAGCGAACGCAAAAAGGGGTTCAAAAAGGCGATCGACGCCGATGAGGCGCGACGAAAGCGTGAGGGTGCGTGTTCGATCGCTCGCGCGCGCGCGTGGAGGTCGTGAACCGCGGTGGAACGTCTGGGGGAGGAGCGCGCGGACGATGCGGCGCGAGAGAGGGGTGAACGAGCGTTGGGAAAGGGAGATCTGGCGGCTCGAGTTTTCTACGGAAATGACGACGTGAAGCGCGCGCGCGCGCGTTCGAGGCGCTTTTTCGACTTCTTGAAGACTGAGGATGATGTTGTGATCGTTTTCGCGCGCGCAGATAACATGATTCAGATCCGGAAGGATAAGCGGGAGGAGGCTATGTTGAAGAAGCGAAGGTGCGTCGAGACGCGCGCGTGCGTAATGGTTTCAATGCGCGCGATGCGCTCGAAATCGTGGTGACTGACGTCGAATATTTTGTTTCGGACGCTCGCGCAGAGACGGGGCGGGATTATCGAGCGCGGCTTCGGATTCGTCCGCGATGACGAGCTCGTCGCCGGGTCCGGGTTCGACCACAGCGAAGCTGCAGCAGTTACCGAATCTGTTTGAGATGCTTAAACAACCAGATCCTAACGTCCAGCTCGAGGCTACGATTTCGTTTCGTAAACTTCTCTCTATCGAGCGCTCGCCACCGATCGATCAGGTGATCGAGACCGGTGCGACGCCGTACTTTGTTGAGTTTTTGAAGCGTCAAGAGTTCCCAAAGTTGCAGTTCGAAGCCGCGTGGGCGCTCACGAACATCGCGTCCGGAACGAGCGAGCACACCGCCATCGTCATCGATCACGGTGCGGTACCCATTTTCGTCGCTCTCCTGGGTTCCGAGAGCCCGGACGTGCGCGAGCAAGCGGTGTGGGCGCTGGGTAACATTGCCGGCGACAGCCCGCGATGCCGCGACATGGTCTTGCACGCTCAAGCGCTCCATCCGCTCCTCGGTCAGCTCAACGCGGAGGCCAAAATTCAGATGCTTCGCAACGCGACGTGGACCCTGTCGAACTTTTGCCGCGGCAAGCCGCAGCCGGACTTTAGCTTGTTGCGTGCCGCGCTTCCCGCGTTGGCCCGACTCGTGCACTCGAACGATGAAGAGGTGCTCACTGACGCGTGCTGGGCGCTGTCGTACCTTAGCGACGGTACGAACGATAAAATCCAAGCCGTGATCGAGGCCGGCGTGTGTCGACGCTTGGTGGAGCTCTTGGCGAGCAACCATCCGAGCGTGTTGATTCCAGCGCTCCGCACTGTGGGTAACATCGTCACTGGAGACGATTATCAAACGCAAATAATCATCAACTGCCACGCCCTCAAGGCGTTGCTCGGTTTGCTCGTGGGTGAATATAAGAAGAGCATCAAGAAGGAGGCATGCTGGACCATCTCAAACATCACCGCCGGCAACAAGGATCAGATTCAGAGCATTATTGATGAGCAAATCGTTCCTCCGCTCATTGAACTGCTCGCCAACGCGGAATTTGACATTAAGAAGGAGGCGGCTTGGGCGATTTCGAACGCCACGAGTGGTGGAACGCACCAGCAGATCAAATATCTCGTCAGTTGCGGATGTATCAAGCCCCTGTGCGATCTCATCAACTGCAGCGACGCGCGCATCGTCACCGTCGCGCTCGAAGGTTTGGAAAACATCCTCAAGGTTGGCGAGGCGGATCGCACGGATGAAGCCCCGAATCTCTTCGCGCAGTACGTCGACGAGGCCGATGGTTTGGAGAAGATCGAATCGCTCCAAAACCACACGAACAACGACATCTACGAAAAGGCGATGCGCCTGTTGGAGACATATTTTGGCTTGGAGGACGACGACGCTCAAAACCTCCTCCCGGAGGTCCAAGGCGACCAGTTCGCCTTCGGTGCCGCCGCCCCGACCGGTGGATTCCAATTCTAACGGACGCACCCACACGATCGCCGATAGCACACGAGTACAGAAACATTAGGAACAACATTGAAAAGAGTCGAAGACGATGCGTTTAACCCTCTGGGTTCCCTCGCACTCTCTCGCGAGGAACCAAAGGACCGCACACGGCCGCATGCGCACTTCGCACTTCGCAACATGCGCCGCTGGCGAGCGCGAGGTATCGCGCGCGTCATCCTCGTCGCTCTGTGCGTGGTGAACGCCGTCGCCGCGCACGACGACGACGCGCACGAATCGAATCAAGGTGACGTGCACGAACATGAAAATAACAACGAATCACGCTGGACGCTCGCGACGCTCACGGACGTGCGCTGGCGAACGCGCAGCAATTCACTCGAGGTAAACTTCACGTTATCGACGCCGTGGGGGACGCACGCGATCGCGCTCAGGCGTCTGGACGATTTGGTCGGGCGCGCGAGCGCGGCGAGACGCCAGGTGGCGCCGAGCGGCGGGCGAAGACGCGCGTTGTCCTCGAGCGCGACGCACACGGAGACCATCTCAGGATCGACGTTTGAGGTCGTACCGCTTCGAGATGCGCGCGGACGCGGGGTCGGGGGGTGTCAGTACGCCGGGGTGGCGATGCGAACGGAGGACGGGACGCGGCGCTCTGCGGCGGCGGCGCTCTGCGAGCGGTACGTCAAGGGACAGATTCGTGGGACGAACGCGACGATCGCGTTCGAGGCCGTGAGCGATGACGCGGCGAACGCGTACTTGGCGACGCGCACGATGCCGAGCGGGCTCGATCCGTTGGCGTACGTTGTGTTCAACGTGAGCTCAATCTCCAACCGTGGTCACGGCGTCATCGACCACGGCGCCGTGGTCAAGGGGTACGACTCGGTGAAGTGGTTGAACGCCGACGGGGCTGAGGTAGACGCGAAGACGGCCGAGACAGTTGCGTTAGAGGTAAAGGCGAACACCACAAACGGCGGACGAAGAAGACTTTTGTCGAGCTCGTCGCAACGCGTCATCGAAATGGTCGTCGTGAATGATAAGAAGCGGTGCGACCAATTTAACGGTGACATGGACGCGCTCGAGGCAGACACGCTCTTCGTCGTGAATGTCGTGAACTCCATGTACACGACTGCGCCATTTAATCCGCCCATCAAGGTTCAGCTCAAGGAGATCGTGTCGTTTGACCAGGCAAATCCGTACGCGGCGGCATCCATTCGTGGCAGCTCAGAGGTGGATTCGGGCGTACTCATCGAGAGGTTCAACGCTTGGATCGAGTCCGCCGATGATACTCTCGAGAAGCATGACGTTGTTCATTTATTTTCTGGCGAGGACTTTGCCTCCGTTTATTCAGGATTCGTCTCTTCAGGAACGATCGGCTTAGCGTGGCAGTATACCTTTTTGGATTCCAGCGGCGTGTGCGAGCAGAAAAAGTATTGTTCATCAACGCCTGAGGGATATTGTTCAACCCAGAGCAATGGTGACAATCACTGTTGCCTGAGTGGCTTCTCGGGCTCGATCTCACAGGTGTATCGATCGCGATCTCAGGCTGACGCCATCACAGTTGCACACGAAGTGGGCCATCAGCTTGGGTTCAGTCACGACCAGGTTGATTCCGACGGATGTGCCGAATACGGGGATATCATGGCGGCATCAGCGACATACGAGCTCGAGGTCGACTGGAGCTCGTGCACGATGAGTGAGTACAACGCGAAGATCGGAGACATTTATCACGAGTGTCTTCTGTTGAGCGCCACAGAAAGCACTTCGGTGTGCGGTAACGGCATCGTCGAGCCCGGAGAAGCGTGTGACTGTCCTGATAGAAATTGCACGTGCTACGATCACTGTTGCGACGGTTACACGTGCCAACTACGAACGAACGCCACGTGCTCCGCGACTGAAAGTTGTTGCGATGAGGCTACGTGTGCGCCTCGCGGGGCGGGGTATGTTTGCCGCTCCGCAGTCGGTCCGTGCGATGTGACGGAGACGTGCGACGGTACGGCCGGGTCTTGCCCGGCAGACGTCAATGAACCGTACGGAAAGACATGTGTGGACGCGAACGGTGATGTGGGTGCGTGTTGGTCGAACCAGTGTCGGAACAGGGACTTCAACTGCCAGCGCGTCGATCCCGACTTTCATGGTGGAAAGCCCGCCAGTTCGAACTGCAGCTTTTCAGCGGCGCAAACCGCGAGCCAGTCAGACGCGTGCTTGACGACTTCTTCAAAAGAGTATTATTGCTTCAGCGGTGACGATTCGTGCAACGTTTTTTCATACTCTTTGCCATATCTGGACGCTCCTCTCGGCTTTCCGTGCGATGCCGCGGTTTCTGGCATGCATGCGAATGTGTGCGACGGACTTGGTTCTTGCGTTGCACTCAGCTCGGTGATGCCGAACTACGTAGCGCCACTACCGGCACTCGCGGGTCAGCGCGCGCGTGATTGCGCGACGAACGTGGCACCTCCCGGGTGGACTTTTCCGCCCCCGTCGCCGTCCCCGCCGCCGCCGTCCCCGCCGCCGCCGCCGCGGACGACTATCGTAGCCACGTCGGGAACGCGCTCGCCAAGCGTGCAAACGCTCGCACTCGCGCTGACTCTCTATATCATGATTTCCATGTTGTAAATTAAATGTATGGCGAGCACTGATTCGATTACATCAAAGTCTCACGGATACGCTTAAAGCGTCCTTCGGCGTCACCCAGTCCTTCTTCCAAATTTGGTCGTACTCAAACATCGCTTCAAGCAGTCGCGTGTCGTACCGCTTCGACGCGCTGTCGACGTACTCCAAATACCCCGGCGCGCCCGGATAAACGACGTTATCCGCGACGACGATCGTGCCTTGACGAACGATTCCGGCGTCTTCGTACAGCTTTAAATCCGGCAAATATCGTTCCTTGGCGTGATCGAGGAACAACACATCCGTCCCTCGCCCCTCGCCTTTCACTCGATTCACGAACGCCCGCGCTTCGTCAACAGCATCGCTCCCGGCTCGCGTGAGCACCTCAATGCGATCACTCAACCCCGCGTAATCGATCGCCCATCTCGCGACGTCCGCGTGTCGCTCTTCAAACTCCACGCACAACATCCGCGCCGCCGGGTCTCTAAACCGCATCGCCGTCGCGATCGCGCTGTACCCCAGAAACGTTCCTATCTCCACGACGCACCGCAAATCTTCAATCGTATCCAGCACCTCGTTCCCGTACAGCGCGCTCTTCTCCGCCCCGAGTTTGTACGTCGGATACTTCCTTCCGAACGCGTCGTACGCTCGCAAGACGCTCGCCGGGTCCCCTCTCCGCGCCTTACGCTCGACGTACGGAATCACGTCCGCGGGCTTCGCGTACGGGTACTCCGTGAAGAAATCTACGTCGTCGTCGTCGTCGTCCCTCGGAGCGCCCGTAGATCCTCCAGCGCGCGCGGGCGACGATGTTGAAACGTTCGACGCCAGCGCCGTGGAGAGGGCGAAACCGAGCGAAGACGCGCGTCGTGATACCGTCGACGCGCTCGCGCGGTGGTCGTGCGCGGAGGACGTCGATGCGACGGCGTGCGCGCGCGCGCGCGGTCGTGCGCAGGCGATGGCGCGCATGAAGCGCCGACGAGTGTGGATAATGCGCGCGTGGTATTAGTTGTACAAGTAGCGTGTACGCATACGAGCGGCTGTCGGATCAACGCGCGTCGGTGTCGGAAGACATGGCAGCCATGAACTCGTCGAAGTCGATGACGCCGTCGCCATTGGTATCGGCGGCGGCGAGGAGCTCGTTGACGTCGCCGAGATTGGTACGCTCGACAGGGGACAAGGATTCGAGCGCGCGTTGGAATTCGTCGGCGGTGATGGAGCCGTCCCCGTCGATGTCGAAAAAGTCAAATGCGCGCTGAACCGCGGCCCTGGACTCGCGCTTGGATCGCGCAATAGTGGCGACGATGAACTCTTCGTAATCCAGGTCGCCACTTCCGTCGAGATCGACCGAAGCGACGACTTCTTCGAGCTGCGCCGCGGCTTCGGCGGATTGGAGCTTCAATCCTTGTCGCAGTTCAACTATGGTAATCTTCCCTGACTTGTCCTTGTCGAGTTCCTTGAACATGACGCCAAGCCCGATCACTTCTTCTTCGGGCATCGAACGCGCCATTGCGTGCAATCCGAATCTCTTGAACTTATCCATGCCGGCAAAGTTTTTAAAGCGCTGCAGGACGATGTTATCGAGCGCCGTTTTCGGGGCGACGCCCGGATCTGCAAGCCAAGGGTGCGAGAGCACGTCCTCGATCGTCATTCGGTCCTTCCGATTCACTGTGAGCATGCCTTGGACGAGTTCCTTTGCCGCATCACTCACTGACGGCCACGGTTCGCTCGCGAAATCCAGGGACGTGGCGCCAGTTTTATATCGCTTAATCTCGTCGAAGATTTGCTTCTCGCTCGATCCCCAGAACGGCGGCACGCCAGAGAGGAGGATGTATAGGATGACCCCGCACGACCACACGTCAGCTTCGTTGGAATACTTGTACCCCATGACCTCTGGGGCGACGTAATACGGTGACCCAACTAGCTCCGTGAACTCTTGGTCGGGCAGGAAAAATGTGGACAAACCGAAATCGATGGCGCATATCGGCGAATCCTTTTCCTTTGACTTCAACACAAAGTTCTCCGGCTTGAGATCGCGATGCATGACGTCCATCGCATGCAAGTACTCCACCGTGCGCGCCACGTTTCGAAACTGCGCCGCTGCCTCGGCTTCGGAGTACGGCGCCTCGTCGAACTGCTCGGTGATTGCGTCGAACCACTCCGGGCCGTCCAACTTCTCCATGATCAGATGCACGTGCGTCGCGTCCTCGTGCACCGACACGAGCTCAACAACCTTCGAATCCCCCGCCAAGTGATGCATGATTCGCACTTCATTCCGCACCATCTCCCTCGAGCTCTCGCTCTTCAATCCGCGTTTGCTGATGGATTTACACGCCAACGCCCGTCCCGTCGACGTATCCACCACCTCTCGCACCTCACCGAACTGCCCCCGTCCGAGCTCGACGCCGAACGCGTACGCCTCTCGCACGTCCACCGCGCTCGCGGCGTCGCCCAGAATACGCACCGTCGCTCGCGTCGTCGTCGCCGATCGCGTCCCGGCGTCACCACCCATCCATCCGTCGCCCGCGCGCGCACCCCTCGCGCGCGCGCCGCGCCACCCTGGTCCGCGCGCGACGCCGCGCGACGCCCTCGTCGCCGTCGTCGCCGTCGTCGCCGTCGCGAGCGCCATCGCGCGCGTCGCGGTGTGCGTCGAATGTCGACGCGTGACATCGCGACGCAAAGGCATCAAAGGCATCATGCGCGCGCGGTGGGCGCCGGCGCCGTCGCCGCGCGCGGGCGCGGGCGCGATCGCGCCCTCTGTCGCGCGCGCGCGCGCTCGGTCGCGCGCGCGGGCGCTCGGTCGCGCGCGCGGGGACGACGGATCGCGTCGACCGGATAACGGTGACGCCGTCGATCGACGCGCGGTGGTCCTTCTCGACGCGTGCGCGCGACAGGGCGCGTGGACGATCGCGTTGATGTTCTCACTCGGGTACGGGACGTCGGCGGTGTGCGATCGCGCGGCGCCGCGGGCGGCGGTGGAGACGCGGGCGAGCGAGACGCGACGGGTGGCGACGGCGGAGACGGAGACGGAGACGGAGACGGAGGCGGAGACGGAGACGGCTTGGCTCGCGATGGAGCCGACGACGGTCGCGATCGATGCGGTGGATGAAGTTCCGGAGGCGTCGGTGACGACGACGGCGGTGGGCGCGGGCGCGGTGGTGGTGGATGATGAACGCGGCGGATCGGCGATCGCGACGGCGGCGGCGGCGACGGCGATGTTCGCGTGGATCGCGAGCGCGTGGATCAAGCGGTACGAGATCGCGCTCGCGGCGCAGGAGTGGTTGGAAAAGATGGAGATGCATGATCCGAATTTTCCAAAGTCGGAGCGCTCGGTGACGCAAAGGCTTGGACAAGAAGTTCGAAGACGTGAAGCGCTAAACGAGGAATGGATGGAGCGGGTACAGGCGGAGAAACAGAAATCAAAGGAGGCGGCGACGACGGTGGAGGCGCTTCGATCTGAGATCGTGTCGCTCGAGAATCGATTGAATATCGAGCGAGCGTCCGTGAATGAGATGAAAACGCTAGCAGAGAACCGAATGCGTGTCGAGGCGGAGAAGGAAGCGACACTCAAGGCGAAGATGGCGACGGCTGAACGTAAAACGGAAGACGCCGAAGCCCAGTTACGGTCGATGCGACGCGAGTTCGAGAGCGATCTAAGCAAGGCGAAAGTAGAGCTGGAAAAAGTGAGCACAGAGGGCAATGAACTCGAAGAAAATTGCAACCGTGCAACGCGCGAGCTGGAGTCGGCGCGTGCCGAGATGGCCCAAATGCAGGACGAGCAGAGCAAACTTGAACGCGACACATCTGCGAGAGTGCGCGAGCTGGAAGACGCGCTGGAGTCGGCACGTCGGGATGTCGAAGAGGCACGCGTAGCGCAAAACGTGCTCGAGGAGAACTCCGTTGGCGCAACGCGCGAGCTGGAGGCTGCGCTGGAGTCGGCGCGTGCCGAGATGGCCCAAATGCAGGACGAGCAGAGCAAACTTGAACGCGACACATCTGCGAGAGTGCGCGAGCTGGAAGACGCGCTGGAGTCGGCACGTCGGGATGTCGAAGAGGCACGCGTAGCGCAAAACGTGCTCGAGGAGAACTCCGTTGGCGCAACGCGCGAGCTAGAGGCTGCGCTGGAGTCGGCGCGTGCCGAGATGGCCCAAATGCAGGACGAGCAGAGCAAACTTGAACGCGACACATCTGCGAGAGTGCGCGAGCTGGAAGACGCGCTGGAGTCGGCACGTCGGGATGTCGAAGAGGCACGCGTAGCGCAAAACGTGCTCGAGGAGAACTCCGTTGGCGCAACGCGCGAGCTAGAGGCTGCGCTGGAGTCGGCGCGTGCCGAGATGGCCCAAATGCAGGACGAGCAGAGCAAACTTGAACGCGACACATCTGCGAGAGTGCGCGAGCTGGAAGACGCGCTGGAGTCGGCACGTCGGGATGTCGAAGAGGCACGCGTAGCGCAAAACGTGCTCGAGGAGAACTCCGTTGGCGCAACGCGCGAGCTAGAGGCTGCGCTGGAGTCGGCGCGTGCCGAGATGGCCCAAATGCAGGACGAGCAGAGCAAACTTGAACGCGACACATCTGCGAGAGTGCGCGAGCTGGAAGACGCACTGGAGTCGGCACGTCGGGATGTCGAAGAGGCACGCTCCGAGCACGATGCGAGGATCAGCCTCAAGTCTGCGACATCTGCTAGAGTGCGCGAGCTGGAAGAAGCGCTGGAGTCGGCGTGTGCCGTGATGGACCAAATGCAGGAGGCGCAGAATAAATTTAAATATAACACATCCGGGCGCGTACGCGAGCTGGAAGATGCGCTGGAGTCGGCAGGTGCTGAGATGGACGAAATGCAGGAGGCGCATCGCAGACATGAACGTGACTCATCTGCGAGAGTGCGCGAGCTCGAAAATGCGCTAGAGTTGGCGCGTCGGGATGTCGAAGAGGTATGCTCAGCGCGTAGCAAACTCGAAGATTACACATCTGTACGAATTCGCGAGCTTGAGACTGCGTTGGATTCTACGCGCGTCGAGATGGAGCGAATTGAGGACGCGCAGCGCAAACTTGAATACGACGCAGCTACTCGAGAGCGGTCGCTCGAAGATGCGCTCGCAATGAGCCGCGAGGCGGAGATGGCGACGAGATCGGAATATGATAAAATCGTTCGACTCACTGCTAACCTGTACAAAGAGTTTCAAGAGAATAGCGCGCTGCGCGCTCGCTTGCAGAAAACTCCATACGCACTTGCATGCGTTGCGCACCGGTGATATTGTCACAAAATGCCATGCACCACCGGTACCGGTACTGTGTACCGCCACTACTAGTAGTACCATAGTAGTACTGGTACGAACTACAACCCGATCCAATACGATTGACCATTAAGATTATGAACGTGGCCTCTGCTCGGCGCCGTCACCGCCCACTCGTACCACATTTTGTGCACGTCGACGCGACGCCAAATCACAAACTCAATTGAAGACGCAGAGCGACTGTCTATGAGAATGGGCGATCGGATTGGGAAGTACATTGGGAACCACGAAAACATCGGCTCGCCCGTCGGCCCCATCGTGTGGCTTGCGGGATGAATACTGCAGCGCACGTGACCAGCTGGTCCGTTGTAGAGCGTCGAGTCAAAGTACGCCGCAAAGCCATGAAGCGTCGTGGAAATGTCGCCTATCTCACTATGCGACCACGACACTCGCGCGTAACGTTCGTTATCGATACAGCCATCATGATTTGGGTGCTCGAACTTCCACACGCTCTTGGGCCCACCGATGCTAAAAGTCTTGTGAAACTGTACCACGTACGGAGTCTCAAGTGCCTTTTTATCCTTGCACGCGACGACGGCGTCATGCAGCTTTGCGGAAACAATGGGTGCGATGAAAGACTCGTACGATCGAGGGATGCTCACCCCTGTCGGCTTCAAAAATCTTTGCGCGCCGTCCAGACACTCTGGGCTCAGCTCGTTATCGCCGAAACTCCCCAGCAGCTCGCTGACCAGGACGTCTGCCTTGGCATCCAACTTTGCGGTGCGCATGTCGCCGGGGATAATGTGCACCGCTTCTTGCCACCCCTCTTCGACGAGAAGATGTTGCAGCGTGACGATGGCGTTGGGGTTCTTCTCGAGTGCGTACACTATGATTTTCCTTCTCGCGCGCTCCGCAGCGCGAAGGGACGCGCGCACCAAGGGCCCGCGACCGGCACCGACGACCATCACCGTGCCCTCCTGGTCTTCGTCCACGACGTCGAGAAGGGCACATCGCACCGCTTCCTCGTACTGGATGTATTTGCTGGCGTCGCGCTCGAATGTTTCGTACGTCACGCTCTCGAGATTATCCATGAGTGGTTGAAGCGGGGCCTGGAGGTGGTCGCGATAGGGCACCTCTGCGAGTGCTTGCTCGCTTAGCGGCTCGATGCCGCGAAAAATGTACACAAGGTACTCCCAATACAGTCGAAACGAATGCGCAGCGTCACCGCTCACGCGCTCGCCCTCGTTCTCGACACTCTCCGGGGTAATTTTCTTCGCCGCAACACCACTTTCGTTATAGTCTGTCAATACGACCTGAATCCCACGCTCAAACATTGCCCGTACGAGCGCTTGCAGTTCCTTCGGCAACACCGGAAACCCTCGCGCATTGGGCACGAACGAGTCCACACTCAGCGCGCACGCCGCAACGCGCTCGCCCAACCACCGCTCCCATTCCCGTCTTTCCTTCGGCGCCCCGGTTATATGTAAATACGCCCGAACGTTTGAATTTTCGTCGCACGCCGCACTCGTCGCCGCCCATCGACGATACGCGTCGTCATCAAACGCCTTGTCACCGCTCATCCGCGTCCGCGCCCAAACGCGCGTCGTCTCCCCAACCGACGCCACGTGACTTCCTAACAATCGTCCAATCAATGTTGGATCGCCCGCGTTGATGTTCATTGCGACTGCGTGCGCGCCGACGTGCGCCGCCCACTTCAGCTCGCGATTCAACGCTCGCGTCCCTCTCGCGTCTCCAGCACCCGCCAAGCGCTCCACTTCGGGCGAGCATCGAAGGACAACGCGCGTGGACCACTCTGAGCCGCTCAGCGCGCGATCACCGTGCGTGAGCGGCTTTGCGGGGTACGTTGAAGGATCGACCGATGTCGCGAATTCATCGATCGCGACGCTGACGCTGACGAAATCGAACCCCCTCGTCAGCGCTCGACGCACACACGCGTCCGGCGTCGATCCACTATCGCTCAGCGTCTCGATCCCAACGAATCGGGCGTCACCGAGGTCTTCGCGAGCGCCGAGAGCCATTCCAGAACGTCAAGCGCGTGACTCTGACGACACTTCTCGGCGATGCGCGCGCTCGGGCAGCGCGCGACGTCGACGACGACCGCGGCGTCCGAGAGACGGAGCACCCCACGTTCAACCGCCGCGCGTCGACGCGTCGTTCCACGCGTCGGCGACGAGAGAAACGATGACGCATCGAGTTCTCACATCGTCGCGCTCGCGACGCTCTCGACCGCGCTGCGACGCGTGGACGACGCGCGACGCGCGAACGACGGCGCGCGAGGCGGATGGATCGATATCGCGGGCGCCCGGGTTCGGTTACCCCGCGGTGCGAGGCCGTGGGCGTGCGCGCACTTCGTCGGGGGCGCGGCGCTGGGGGCGTTTCCCGACGTCGCGTACGACGGATTGTTGACGAGGTGCGCGGACGAAACGGGCGTCGCCATCATCGCTACGGCGTACGACGTGGATTTGAACCATGAGAAGATTGCAAAGGCGTGCGGGGAGATGTACGCGCGAGCGCGCGCGGAGGTGTGCGAGCGCGAGGGGTTGGACGCGCGAACGACGCCGACGTTTCGATTCGGGCACTCGCTCGGGTGTAAGCTCGTGACGATACTCGCGTGCGAGGACGCCGCTCGGGGCCGTAGTGGTGGGATTGGGGGAGTGGCGGGCGATGGTACGATCGACATGGACTGGGACGAGGCGAGCGGGACCGCGGTGGCGGCGCGTCCGAGCGCGAGTGGGTCAGGCGACGTCGCCGTGGCGGGACATTTCATGGTCGCGTTTAACAACGCCGATGCGGCGGATTCGGTGAAGTTGATTGAAAAATTCGCGCGTGAGCTGTTAAAAAAGCGAACCGGGGAGAGCGGTGGCGTAGGGGCGGACTTTTTCTCATCGCTCCCTTCGCTCTCCGCGTTCGCCGAGCGCGCGGTGAAAGCGGCCGGACTCGAATTCGTGCCGACGCCGAAGGAAACGCTGGAGCGCGCACGAACGCGTTTCGTGTCTCGACGAACACGTTTAATCAAGTTCAAAAACGACGATTTAGATCAAAACCGAGAGCTCATGGAGGCGCTCGAGACGCGATTCAAAGTGTATCCAGGTCGCGTTGACGCACGAGAGTTGGATTTTGGGAACCATCTCACGCCTGTATACTTTAGCTTGGACGGCTTGAAACTGTCCCCTGCGCTTGAAAAGCTCGTCGGGCAGTTCTCGCTCGGGGACGAGGAGGGGGTGAAACGGTTAGCGGACGAATTCTCGGCGTTCATTCGTGAGAAATAGAGTAGTATCAATCATCAATCAATCAATTCAATTTCAATTCATCAGTACCAGAATCGGTACCAGGTACAGTCGTGTGTCGTATCTATTCGCAATTGATCACTCGCCGTCACTTTCGCTTGGACAGTCAAACGAAAACTCGTCGTCGTCGTCTTCGCAGACGATGGTCGTGTCACTCTCGGCGCTCGGAAGCTCCGCGACAAACGTAATGAGCTCATCTCGCGCGACGTTCAGCAGTAACACGTCCGTCGTCGTCAAGGATGCGTCGTCGCACCAGTGCTTCGGTGTGTCGCCTGGTTGTGCGGCGATGCGGTCCGCTGTGTCGCACTTCGTGTCCTTGACGAGTGAGAATAAGTCACGAAGCTCGGCCTGCGTGAACGTACTCGACGACCCACCGCCATTGCTAGCGGTGCTCGTTGACTTGAAACCGAGCGTCCGGGCGAGCGATCCCTTCAATTCTTGGCGCTGAAACATGCGCTCCTCGATGGTGCCAGTGGAGAGCAATCGGTAAATGGTACATTTCTTCGTCTGACCTTCGCGCCAAATTCGCGCCTGGGCTTGTAAATCGTGCGCAGGATTCCAACTACTGTCGACGAGGACCAATCGATTGGCGCCGACGAGATTTAATCCGACGCCACCCGCCTTGGTAGATAGTAAAAGAATTCTCCCGGTCGTGTTGAATTTGCGCACGATCGCAGTGCGGTCTTTTGGCGGCGTCGAGCCTTGCAACCGGTCGTACTTTAACTTCTCACCCTCACACAACAAAGCGATGAGATCGAGCGTCGTCGTGAATCCGGAAACGATGACGATGCGCTCGTCACTCGGCAAAGCACGGAACATCGAGCGAAGCACACAAAGTTTGCTCGACGTCTCGATAGGGTCGTCTCGGTGCGCTTCGGAAGCCAACGCCGCGGCATTACAGAGCTTTTGAAGCGTTTGAATCGCTGACAGCGGCGAAATGGCGTCATCCGTCTTGCCGATTCGTCCGAGCATGGCTTGCATTGACTTGGCTTTCAACTGTTCCACGTAGAGCGCGCGTTGCGTCTCCGTGAGACGAATGAAAACGACGTACTCCGTCTTCGGAGGAAGCAATGATGCGTTGATCTCGTCTGCTTTCCTGGAGTGAATAAATGGGCCGATGAGTTTACTCACCTCGTCGCGGCGGGCGTTGCCTATTCGAACGACGTCCTCCTTCGCGCCACGCTCGCCAGCCTTCTCAATCGGCGTCGCGTAGATGGTTTTGAAACTCGACAGATCGCCCATCAAACCGGGACAGGCGAAATCCATGACGCCCCACAACTCGTCCAAATCGTTCTGAACCGGCGTTCCCGTGAGAAGTACGCGTCGATGGCATTTCAGAGAAGAGAGCGCCATCGCGCCTTTGGTCGTCTGCGACGCATTCTTGAGGCGATGCGCCTCGTCGCACACGAGCAAGTCGATGTTCGCTCGGGCCAGCGCTTCGCTCTTCGCCGTCAATGTCTCGTATGAAGTTATGAGCACGTTGTATCGTCGCTGGGATGAAAGTGCGAACTCCTCGAAACTCTTCTGTGCGTCCTTGTCACCACCCTCGACGACTTTTGGGTCGATTCGCTCTGGTCCCAACCACTTCTTAAATTCGGCGGCCCAGTTCCCAACGAGCGAGGCTGGAACGCAAATCACGACGCGGCGACACGTCGGGCATCCGCGTTTGAACGGTGATTGCTTGAGCAGAGTCCACACCAGGGCGATCACTTGTAACGTTTTCCCTAAACCCATCTCGTGCGCTAACAGACATCCGGTGTGCGCCTTGTTCGTGTGCGCGCTCGCGCGCAAGCCCATGACGCACTCAAACATAAACTTCAATCCGTCACGTTGGTGCGGACGGAGAAACTTCGCAATGAAAGGATCGCACACCACCGGGCACGCCGTTCGAACGTCGCGTCGATAGAAATTCGTCTCTCTGGTCGACAGCACGAGCGCGTTCTCGGCGACGTCGCTGTGAAGCGGTTCCTCGACGGTACGCATCGGCGCCGCCGGTTTCGCTCCACTCGACGTCGCCCCACCGCCTCGCACGGGCGCAACGAACCCACCGAGCTTCACCCCAGACACCACCTCGACCCTTTCCTCCCTCGGCGCCACCGCCGCGGTCCCACCTCGAGAGAAAACCACGCCGCTCGCGACGTCCGCCTCTGGTATCTCCTCGCCGATTTCCACTTCGTACGCCCCCAACTCCGTCGTCGTCCCCTCCACGATCGTCCCACCCCGTCCTCTCGCGATCCGCTTCCCCTGCACGTCCAACACCTCCGCGGTGCCGTCTCCACTCGATATCACCACACCGTCCGCGAACTTTTTCGAGCTCCGCCGCTTCCCGCCGCCGCCCGCCTTGCGTTTACTGTACAGCGCCGTGAAGCATCTCCGCGCCGGGCATCTCGCGTCACCATCGGCACCGCCCCGCGCTCGCTTCACCGCGCCCGCCGCCGACGTCGTCCGAGGCGTCGCCGTCGTCGCCGTCGTCGCCGTCGCGCGACACGGCGCGCGAAACGGCGCGCGCGCGTCGCGCGATGCCCCGATGCGCGCGGGTGCTCGGTTTCCATCCATCGCCGTCGTCGTCGTCGTCGTCGTCGTCGTCGCCGGCGCGGACGTCGCGGACGTCGCGCGCGCGTCGGCGTCCATCGCGCGCGCGTCGGCGTGGCCGTGGGCGTCGTCGGCGGCGTCGGCGTCGATCGATCGACGCGTCGATGCGTCGATGGGTTCGAGCGTGTTCGCTACACAGTGTTTCGTATGAGTATAGTACGTATAGATATGACGTACTGTGTATACGTTAGACGGTATGTGGGAGAGATCGCGCGCGCACCAACACCAAACGCGCCGCGCGCGCGATGGACACCCGTCGACGCGCGCGAGGACGCGCGCGCGCGCGAAGAGCGCGCGCGCGAGCGTTCGAGACGCGCGGACGATCGCGCGGGACGGCGCGCGCGAGGACTCGAGCGCGGCGCGTCGGACGCGCGACGAAAGATCGAGGGCGTAACACCATGGCGGACGCGACGGTGGATGACGCGACGACGCGCGGGCGATGGGCGAGCGATCGGGACTGTGAGCTCGCGGAGACGTCGTCGTTGTTGCGCGGAGACGATGGGGCGCGGGCGGAGGGGTCGCGGGATCGACGCGGGGTGACGGTGGGGACGATCGCGAGCGGGGCGCTGGCGCTCGCGGCGTGCGCGGCGCTGGGGGTGTGGACGCATAAGAGTAAGACGCTGCAGGAGGCGTGGCGACCGGTTCCGGGGGCGGAGATGCTGGAGAGGGGTGGCGGGGTCGATTCAGGGATCGCGCGTTGGCGCGCGCGGGAGGTGGCGAGTTTGGGGGGGGCGGAGACGCTCACCGGGGTGACGCCGACGCCGTCGCAGATGACGGCGCTTCGGGCGCTGCGATTACAGATTCGGAACGCGATGTTCAACGGCGGCGAAGTGAGCGCTGGGACGGTGAAGATGCTCACGATGCAGTTCTTGAACGTCATTCCCCAGGCGGCGGCTACTTTCCCGTCCGGGACGGCGGCAAACGTGGATGAGTTGGACGGCGCCGTGAAGCAGTTAATGTCCAGGGGCGTCTTGGCCGCTCCCGCGTCGCCGTCGGCGGAGAGCGAATTTCGAGAGATGATTCCGGCATCACCGAGGCCGACCGTCGAGCAAGCGATGGAGGAGTCCACGCAGGTGGACGCGGCGCGGGCGCCGCAGAATGCGGCGCTGCCGCCTCGAAAGCCGTTGACGACTTATGAATCCGCTTTGTTTGAGACCAAGGCGGCCGCGAACGCGGTCGCGTCGACGGGAGCAGGAGCGGGTAGAAAACACAAAAGTGGCCGTACATCGAGCGAGGCGCAGACGGTGGCGCAGAATGACAAGTGGGAGGCGATGATAAACTCGCTGGATTCCTCGGGACGAGTCATCAAGAACGCGGCGAGCAGGCAGCTGGACGACAATAACATCTTCAATCGGCTCTCTTCGCCCTCTCCCAGTGAGACGGACGACTTTGTGCAGTATGAGAACGAGGCTCCGCGCCGAGAGCGACAGCAATCGTCGCCGATTGTCGAGAGTGAAGTTGAAGTCGAGGCCCCACAACCGACTTCGCAGGCGAGCGCGCCGCAAGATCCGCCTTGGGCCAAACAGCCTCAACAGCTGCAGGAGCCGACCGTCACGGAAACGGCGACTCCGACCTCGTCAACTGCCGATGACTCGTCGTGGACGGACTTTCAAGAATTAATGGAGGCTGAACCGAGCCCTTCACCGGCGCCGGAGCCTGCGCCGGAGCCGGAGCCTGTTCCGGAGCCTGCGCCGGAGCCGGTCCCGGATGTTCCGTCCCAGGCGGCGCAGCCTGATCCAGTAGACGTCATGGAAGCGTTAGACTTCGGATCGACTGATCGACCGCAGGTTGGTGAACAAGAGATCGCCACGCCACAGGCAGCGGCGACGTCCGATGACGACGATATGCTCAAAGACATGCTTCGCGACGGCGGCGACAAGGCTGACACGGAAACAAAGGCGGAAACGAAGACGGAGAGCGAGCAGGCAACCAGCGTCCTTGGAGACGACACGGCGAAGAGTCCTCTTTTCAAACCGGTGATTCCCAACGCGAATGTTGAGGCTATCGCGTCGAACATTATTGACATGATCATGGCAAAAAAATCATCCAGCGGCGACGCAGCTGCGGTGGGCCTGGATGAAAATGGAAATTCTGGCGTCGCGCCAAGGCTCTCGAAAGAGGCAATCGCGGCACAGTTGGCGGAAAGTTTGACTGCGCTGACGTCGGATTCAATTGAAAAGACCGCGACGGAAAGTGCTCGCATGGTTGACGAGGCGAACGACGATCCAAATGCCAAAATCATGGCTGACGCCCTCGTGGCGCACGATCACGACGTCGCGGCACGGATCGCTCAGATACTCTCTGGCGGAAAATCCTCTGGTAGTCAAGTTGCTGGTATCGGCGCGACCTCTGGTTCGGGTGATGGTGCATCGCAGCTCATCATGTATGAAGAGCAGCGTCGACAGCGGGAGGAGATTGAAGCCATGAGACGAGACTTGGCGGCTTTGATGGCGAACGTCCAAGCCAATTACGCGATGGGCGTTGCACATGATAGAATCGATAAAACTGCCGCTTCAGCCGCAGCACGCATCATCGATGTCCTTCGTCCGACACTCGCTAGCGACGCGGTAGCGCGAGAGGGAGCAAGCGAGGTGTTTGACTACCCGATCATGCCCAGTTCATCGTTATCTAGCGAAACGCTACGACTCGATGCTGGATCCGATGCTCGACCGAAAAAGACGACGGATGAGTCGAAGAAATCCGACGCAACGGCTGATAGTGATGACGACGAGTTTGATTACATCGAAAAAACCGATGCTGGAGCCGAGGACTCGTCGGCGAAACTCTCAAAGTCGGAGTCAACGTCGAACGCGGGTGACTCGGTGGAAACTAGTAACGGCGGTGGTTCCTCCAGTGAACCTTCCTGGCTTACAAACGCGCTCACCGACGAGCAATTAACCGCGCAGTTTGTGGCCGACGAGACGGAGGCCGACGGAGATCACATCAAGAAATCGACGAAGAAGAAGTCAAAGCACTCTGAAGCGCGGCTTGGTGCGGTCCCCGGGGCCTTCGCATCTCACAAGCCTACCGGCGACGATGTGCAGGGTTCGTATATCCAAGCCCTGAACGAGCGCGCCGAGCGCGCGCTTAGGAGCAAACCACGTTCATAGATGTTTCATTGGAATTAAAAACTCACCGCTCGATCGATTTCGTCGACGCTTTAAAATGGCCCCACGCCCCACGTCTCGTCTCTAGAGTATGGCGCGTCGCGCTCCGCCCGCGTCTGTCCTCCTCCATCGCTCCCGCCAGAAGCCTCGCGCGCGTGCGTCCACCGCCGCCATGCGTACCGAGGACGTTCTCGCCCTCCTCGGCGACGCCGCGAGCGCCGGTCGAGTGAGAGCGCTTCGCGGTGACCTACGAGGACGCGTCGACGTTCACATCGCTCGAGCGAGAGAAATCTTACAGAGCGACGTCGCTCGCGTCGACGCGTCGGCGTTGTCGGCGCTCAAGGCGGGCGTGGAGGCGCACGACGCAGCGACGGATGACGAGAGCCGGTGGGCGGCGATGCGCGAGGCGTACGACACGGCGCAGCGAGCGCTATTGAACGCGGCGAACGACCCGGATTTGGCGCTCGCGGACGTCACGCACGTCGGCTCGGAGACGGTTAAAGACGATGCGTTCGTCGAACGGAAGATGACGTTCTATGGGGAGAACGGAGGTGATGCTGGGAGATGGCGAAGTCTGAACGACGGCGTCATGGGCGGCGCGTCGAGCGGGACTTTGTCGACGACGGATGATGGGCGCTGCATGTTTTCGGGAAACGTGAGCTTGGACTACAACGGCGGATTCGCGAGCGTGCGAGCGTACGTCGAGGAGGTCGGTGAGGACTTCGACGGAGTGTACATTGACGCCAAGTCGCCCACGGGGGAGGCCAAGACGTTTCTGTTCATTTTAAAGGACGAGCCGTGCCTGCTCGAGCAGACGAATTTTAAGGTCAAGTTTAAAGTGGGCACCGAGTTTACTCGTGTCAAAATCCCCTTCGCGGCCTTTTGTCGGGCCGAGCGCATGGGGCGCGTAGTTTTGCGCCCACCACTGAAGATCGACGCGATTCGCGAGTTCGGCTTGATGATTCTGAAGGGGTCGCCCGAGCAGGTCGGGCCGTTTGAACTCGAGGTGAAGGAGATTGGTTTTTATCGCGGTTGAGCGTTTCATTGTTACAACATTGCAGCGTAGCACCTACTCTCATCATGGCTTCGTTGCGCACTCGATCCCATGCGCGCCGATCGTGTAATCGAACGATGTGAGCGGAGCTATCGGACTTTTGACTATTTTTATCGACCTTCGATCGTCGCGCACCTCGAGGGCGATGCGCGTATTCACGCAGTGCGCCCACTTCGTGCCCAGCGCCGCCGTGATGCCGCTCGACTCCTCCGCTCCAACGCCCTCGCCCGCTCCGGTCTCATCGCTCGCATGTCTCGCCGCGGATCCGATGCGAGTCGTCACCTGATTCACCGCGAGCACGGCGAGCCCATGTTTCTCCGCGTGTCTCTTCAGTGTCGCTGCCGCCGCGCCGAGCGCGCTCTGTCGCTGCACCACCCGCTCCCTCCCGAACTCCCCCCGCGCCAGGTGCGCCACTGAATCTATAATCACCAATCGCACCTTGTGATCGATTATCGCTTCCTCCAGCGCGTCCAGACGCTTCACCAGATCGCTCAGGCTCATCGGCGTGATGACCTGCACGCGTCTCGCCAGCGCCCGCGCCGCCGTCTCGTCCGCCCGCAACGTCGCAAACTTCCCTCTCGCGATCTCAATCAACCGCTCGCCGCTAAACTTACGCTCCGCATCAATATAGATGACACCTCCGTCCGCTCCACCATCGCTCGCGCTCGCCGCTGCGCACGCGCACGCGCCCAGACACAACTGCGTCTTTCCCGCGCCCGCTTTGCCCACGATCTCCGTCAGGCTCCCGACCCGCATCCCACCTCCCAGGGCGTCGTCCAACGTCGCGACACCCGTGCGCAACCGAAGCGACGTGCGCTCGAGAACGTTTCGCGCCGTCGTCGGCGTCGGCGCGACCGCCCGGGCGACGTCGAGAAGGAATTCTCTCGCTCGAGCGTGCGAGCAATCGGCGAGCTCGACGACGTCCAGAGGCGCTCGGTGCAGCGCGTCCTCGACGGTTCGACATCCGCGGGATTCGAGCTTGGCGGCGAGGTCGAGGTCGACGCGGAGACGGTCGAGAGGGAGCTTGGCGGCGGACATGGAGGCGCCGAGGTGTGCGACGACGTCGACGACGAAGCGCGCCGTTGGTTGGAGCGAGCTCTGAAACATTACAAAAATTGCGGCATGACGCGTGCGCGATGCAACGCGTGGCTCACGCCGCCGGAGCGAGCGACGCGACGGGCGCACGGGGTCGCTTGCCGCGACGCTGCCGGAACAAGGCTCTGCGAATGCCCCTAAAAAAATCAAACACGGGCTGCGTCAACCGACCGAACGCGATGGCCAGAAGTACGCACCCGAGGGAGAAGGACTCCTTGATGTGCTCGGCAAGCGAGACCGAACGAAGACCGATGAAAAGCTCTTGCCTGATCGCCTTGTCCGTGGCGAGCATGTGCGCCGCGTCCTTAGCGAGGGCGAAGATGGGAACGCTGACGCCGCCCTTGGCTCCGATGCCCGCCATGTCGATCAAATTACGCAGACGGTCCCACTCGAACCTACCGTTCACGACAACCACTTTGAGCAAACGAAGTCGCAGTGCAGGATCAGGATCGGTGAGCAACCGTCGAGCAACGTAAGGAAACGCCGCGTCCAATAAGTTGAAGTCCGGATTGAGCGTTAAGCAAATGTTCTCTTGCGTGAGCAGCGAGCGTATCACCAGAGAAAAGCGCTCGGGGACGCGGATTGGGTAATCGTACAGCAGCTTGTTGAACTCACGAGTGAGCCCTCGGAATGAAAACTTTTCAGCGCTCGCGAGAGATTGCAGCGCCTCATCGCCCCATACATCGGCGAGGCCCTCGGCGACGGGACCGATGTCCGCTCCCGGCTGTAGGAATCCCAAATCCTCGAGTGACGACGCGAGAGCCTCGTAGTCGCGGTTCATCACGTGTACGACGGCATCGATGAGACTCTCTTGGTTCGATCGCGAAATCTCGGCAACGTTGCCAAAATCGACGTAAGCGATGTCTCCGTTGGGGAGAGCTAAGACGTTGCCGGGATGCGGATCGCCGTGAAATAAGCCAAACTCGAGCAGTTGCCTCAACCCAGCCTCGACGCCGTTCACTAAGAATCGCGCCCGCGAAGCTTCATCCGAGAACGCGTCTTCACGCGTACATCTAACGCCGTTCTGCCAGTGCATGACGAGGACTCGCGGTCCGCTTAGTTCGCTGACGACGGGCGGAATTTGCACGTTTGCGTCGTTGCGAAAATTGAAGGCGAAATCGCGCAGGTTTCTCGCCTCCTGCACAAAGTCGAGCTCTTCCAAGAGCTTTTCAGCGAACTCGTCGACCAGGAGCGAGGCTGAGCACCCGAGGTTCGCCCGAGCGAAATCGTCAAAGAACCTCAGCGCGGCGGCACGCAAAAGGAACAGGTCCATGACGCACTGCGACCGCGTGTTCGGTCGCAGTACCTTGATGGCGACGTCCGTGCCATCTCGTTTCAACGTCCCTCGATACACCTGACCGATGGATGCCGCCGCGATGGGCTCGGCGGAAATTTCACTGAATGTCTCCTCTATCAACCGACCCGACTCCTCCTCGATTATCTTAAACGCAAGCTTTGAATTGAACGGTGGCACGCGATCCTGAAGTTTTGTGAGCTCCTCCATCAAGTCCTCGTTGACCAAATCTGGTCGATTCGCCAAATTCTGTCCGAGCTTGACGAACAGCGGTCCGAGTTCGCAGAGCGTCTCCCGAACCGCCTCTCCCCAACGCGCGCCACCGTCAGACGCGTCCAGCGCTTGCAAACGCTCGCGCTTCCCCTTGAGTTTCCCCAGCACAAACACTAGTTTCGCCGCTCGTTTCGCCAACTCAACCGGCCTCCCGAGCGCCTCTCTCTGAACCGCCTCCGGGTCGTACCGCGTCACCACGCGACAAAAGTCTCTATCCGCCTCCAGCGCCGCCTTATCCTTCACCTTTTTCACCCGCCCCATCGCCGATTTCGCCTTCATTCGCACCGTTCGCCCCACCACCGCGTCCGTCGCATCCATCGAATCCGTCGATCCCGGCTCGGCGACGGCGCGTCCCGTCGTCCGCCGCCGCGTCGACGAATCCCGCCGCTCTCCCCCCCATCCGGCGTCCACTCCGCCCCGCACCCCACCCATCCGCCGCGACGACGCCATCACCACCGCGCGCGCGCGTCCACCCATCCCCACGCGCGCCGCCCTCGCCGTCGTCGCCGTCGTCGTCGCCGTCGTCGTCGTCGTCGTCGTCGTCCATCCGCGTC